AGAGCGAGAGAAAGAGAAACTAACCTCAGCATCTTAAAGATGTGCTGAACACCTCCCTATTCAGCCGCCAGACAGCGTTCTCTGACAGGAGGATGAGAAGGCCCGCTGTCAACCCTGGGGATATAGCATTGGTAAATGAGTGCAATCCTAGTAGTAGGCATCCATCATTTATCATAGTGATCAATGGGCGCTATCTTACTAACGCTGTACATTGGTTCATATATGCTATCATCATTTGTTAATTATATTATTAATTATTGTCATTATTAATTATATTATTTACAATTGTCATTATTATTTATATTATTTATTATTATCATTATTACTTATATGATTTATTGTTGTCATTATTAGTCCTATATAATTATTATTATCCAACACAACTGTATGTAACAGAAGTGGCTGGCACTAGTGAATGAGGAGAGTGCACTATATATATATATGCAACAATGCCATGCGAGGAGACATATGATGATAGTAACTTTAAAAGATCTTATAACTACCTGCAGCGAGCATTAGGAATGGTCCAGAGAAGGCTTCAATATTGAGGGGGGCGATGCCCCCTCCTCGATCAGAGGTCGGGGGCCGGAGACACTGGCTGGTGTTGGTGATCTGCTCTGCCAGCCACTTATCCAGGAGGCCTGACTCTTTCACAGCTAGTATGCTGGAAAATAGGAACTCCTATTTAAAAAAGTCACGCGTTTAATAGTCAAATAATTATATAGTTGCTGTATATATTTATGTACAGACGATGAGTCACAATAACGTTGCTTGAAGATATGAGAAGTAAACCACATGCCAGAAGATGGGGAGACAATTACAAGGACGTTTCGGTCCGTTCTGGATCATTATCAAGTCGATTGTCCACAATCGACTTAATTGTGTACAATCAAATCGAAATTTGGGCCGAAACGTCGTTGTCTCTTCATCTTCTGGTGTGTGGTTTAGTTCTCATATTTATGGATGGTTTGTTAAGTTTGGAGATTGTACGTTCTGATTTTTTTTTAATTTTTGTTAGTTGCAATAACAATAATTTTGTAATATTGATCGAAATTCACAAAATTATGATACTCAATTTGGCCACAGATTATTATGCAAGATATACAATCAACTGGTCGGAATAGGGGGGTTGAAATAGCCTAAGCTACTCTATCCCTTTGAGATATATTTTTTTCTTGTCTCAATAAACATTCTTGAACTTGAACTAGGTCGGAATATCCCGTGGTAGATATTACGTCTGAGTCTACGCCACTTAATTCGAGAGTGTCAGGATCTAACACGTCTGTCTAACAAGTATTAGACATTAGTGTAAGATCAACCATACGCTTTGTGGGCAACTCGTCCTCTCGAGCTCTCAAAATGGACAGAAAATGATGTATTAAATTGCCGAAGCTTGACCAAAGATATCCTGTGCTGGATAACCAAAGGATCCAAGATTGATGAAGATTAAGCCACCCAAGAGGTGGCACGGGCATGAATAGCCCGTAAGTGGTGGCCCTTTTGAGCCATTACCAGTATCAAAAGATGATACTGGAGATCTGTGGAGGCGCAACTGCACCCTGCGTGACGGGAGATGTCTCCCGGACCAAGTGGTGACCAAATGGTAAAGGATCCAAGGATAGAAAATGTGAAAGGTTGCGAGAATTTATAGTACTTCATATTTTATCCATTGTGGATTACAACGTCAAAAAAGCGAGGTACTATAGAGAGGACAGCGTGAGCAAGTGGCAGAATCAAAATCTTGGTGATACCAAGAGATTTAACTTACATTTTGTTGGCCTGAGTGTGGTAGGTAGAGTTAAACCTGAAGGCCATTGTAAGCACACCATTGTTTAACACGGTCTCTCGGGACATGTACAGGTGACACTGGCCGCTGGTGCTGTAAAATTACATTTGTGGCCTTAGCAAAGGAGACAATTCGACGAATAAATTTTCACCCAATAAGTTCAAGGTAAGTTTAGGTGAGAATAGTGGATAGGTGATATTTTATTTATTTTAAATGGGGATAAACTAATTTTGTTGTCCCCTTTTCTAACAAAAATCAGGATTGTCAATATTATTATTTCTGTACAGATTCTATTTAGTTAACAAATCTAATAAAATGGGAAATTCTATAATAACAAATAATTTACAGGAAATGTATATATTACGGAGGTAGTGCACGTCGTTTTAATAATAATAAAAATGCATGTCATAACCGATGATTAAACTTGAAATTCACAGCTCTTTACTAGCCTAAACATATTAACCTACAGTAAAATTTCCCACATTAACTACTCTTTTTAAGAAGATAATTAAATCGTGGCTTCTCCTTCGTTATTCTGAGGACCAACACACGTGGCTTTTCATTTTGAACTTTTGCATATAGTAAATAATCCAAAAATAGTGTTTTGTTAACCTGAAGTCCCAGGACATGGCCATCTTCATAGTGGTCCTGTCGCAGATGGCAGCGAACTTCCCCTTAGCTATGTCCTGCTTCGAAGCCCAGCAGTCCTGGAAGGTGCCGGAGACGCCCTCGAACACCTTTCTTCTGACGATATCATCAGACGCCTAATGAGAAAATATGCCAGTTAATATGAAGATAATATTTCAAGGTATATTCTAAAATGATGCATAGAATATATGCAAAGTTAAGCATAAATTTTACCTATCATTTACGAATGTAAAAAAGAGGTATGCCATCTATAATATATATATAATGTGCGTGTGTGTAAATCACGAAAAAATTAACATGTTATGAATAATGTTACAATTTTAAAAAACGAAGGAAAATGAAAAATAAATTCGTGAAGTATTATCGTGTTAATCAACACATTATCCAAAAGATACTAAAAGTCTCATTCAAATTATCGCTCTCTTGATACTAGAATAACAACTTCACAAAAAATGACCTTAAAATACTCATAGAGCATCGAACCGGCCTCCAGCCGCCAGGGCAAGCGAGTCTGGGCCACCAGGTCCGCCAGGGAGTCTATGGGGATTGTGACTTGAGGGAGAGTCAGCATGGCCGTGAGGATGCCACTGTAGCAGGACATGAACACAAAGGACGCCAGGAGCCACGTGGTCGCTATAAGGCGGCCGGCGTCTCTTTTTGGCATCCACAAAGAGCCTATGGAGAAAATTAAGAGAGAGCACCGTGTTTATATATCTACGTGACCTATGCAGACGAGGTGTCACAATAACGTGGCTGAGATATGTTGACCAAACCACACACTAGAAATTGAAGGGGCGACGACGTTTCGGTCCGTCGGGGACCATTCTCAAGTCGATTGTGAGAATGGTATGAGACTTGAGAATGGTCCAGAACGGACCGAAACGTCGTCGTCCCTTCACTTTCTAGTACGTGATCTAACAGCTTCCATCTTCCTAGTGTGTAGTCAGCGACTATCCAGGAACAGAAGCAGAAGTCACTCACCTTGTTGCGTGAGAGTTTTAACTCCCCAGAGGCCAGCCGTAATGAGAGTGTCGCGTGTGGTGGTGCTGTAGATCTTGTCCTCCGCCTGCACCAGCAAGGCCAGCGTCGCCACCACTCCCACCAGGCTCACCACAGTCAGTAACCACACCTGCAGCAGAACAAACCATTCATGTCCCATTTGAGAATGCGTCACATTAAAAGTCGATAATTATTTCTTTTTTTACTGATATTAACCTAATATTATATTCATCAATATGTCAATTATTCTGAAAATCCTTCTGAAGGTGTACTATTAAATATGAAAGTACTTAAGGAAATTCCTGTTGCAGTTCTTCCTTCGTGGTTTGACACTATCACGTCACGTGTTAATTTTCGTAATTTACACACGTGTCAATGATATATATATATCTTCCATTTTTCTCGCAAATACGAATTTATTAAAAAAAATAGCAAAGTTCAGCCATCAAAACAGCTAAGGAAATTTCCAAGTAATATAATAGTGAATTCAAAACGATAAATGCCCTTAAGAATTTATAACAAGTAAAAATATACATGTACGTACCTGCATATTGAAGGGCTTCAGGAATCCCGAGACATCGTTAATATTTAGGCTTGGTCGAATCATGAAAATAGCGCCGTCGTCAGTATAGAAAGGGAACGAAAAGTCACAAGCATTTTTCCTAGGTATAGTGGGTACGAAAGGTCCCACAGCAAACTCAACCTCCTGAAAGGTGGAAATTGATTGAAGAAACTGTTATTGTTGCCTTTACCAGCGGCTGATTCATGATATCTTGTGAGCTGAAGAGCTAAATGGCTACAATTCAATGGAGTATATCACATGCCACTTAGCAGTTAATTAAAACTTTTTGAAAGTTGCTTTTTGGAGTCGAGATAATTTATATGAACAAATTAACCAAAACTATTGGGTGATTTGTTAATTCTGTAGTCTTCTTTTATTTGTATCATTTCTTCTTATAATTGAAATAAATTTCACAAAATATATATATGACTTAAAAGATCAATAACCATTGATTTATTTAATGCAACACTACCACATTGAATATGGAAATATAAAGCTTAAGGTCCCTAAACCCTCTCGGGGCTGTTGTCAATATGTATATATATATATATATATATATATATATATATATATATATATATATATATATATATATATATATATATATATATATATATATATATATATATATATATATATATATATATTGTGACGGTAAAGCGTTGGTGTTCGGCTGTTTCAAAAGCTAGGGGCAGGGCCTCGTCACATAATAAAAAAAAAGAGAAAAGTTGGTTCTTTCGTCTGTGGTAAGGTAATGGGAAGACACACAAAACACAAGTATATAAACAATGAAATTTTAATTACTCTAGAAAAACAAGACATGAATAAAGGCAATCTCATAAAATATGCAGGAAAAGTCAACAAACAAAATAACATGAATAATCACTGGCAAATGAAAAGTTACGCTAAGACAAGTAAGTTACAGTGATAGCAAAATAAAATATGAGTGCTGGAATACTGGCTTCGAACTGCCACCTTCCTTAGTACACGAAAGCCAAGGCTTAATCTACCAGCGAGAGATGTCAACTGCATGGAGCACTGAGATATTCTGACGAGACTGGCGCACTGAAGCCCAGACGTCGACTTGTGGTGGTGGCGGAGGGCAGGGGCGACGAGACACCAGCCAATCAGCAACAGGCAGGCAGAGGATGAGCAGTTAGCTGGTTATGGCGGTGGCCAGGTGTGCTGGGTACGATTTGCTCTCTGGGCAAAACGTTTGGCGATACTTGGTGAACGTATCTTGTATATAGTATCTTGTATTTTGACGTAATTATGTAGGGAAGAGCAGGCTCATTCTCTCTTGAAAGAGATTATCGTCACAATATATATATATATATATATATATATATATATATATATATATATATATATATATATATATATATATATATATATATATATATATATATATATATATATACGTGTGTGTGTTTGTGTGTGTGTGTGTTTGTGTGTGTGTGTTTGTGTGTGTGTGTGTGTGTGTGTGTGTGTGTGTGTGTGTGTGTGTGTGTGTGTGTGTGTGTGTGTGTGTGGTGTGTGTGTGTGGTTGTGTTAATATCATCAGCTAATCTAAGAACAGGAGCAGGAGCATATGATCCTATATGCTCCGGTTCTATACAATACACGCCCTTACATTGCTTTTCTCTACTTTGAGAACCAGCTTACTAGACACGTAATACGATGTCTAATGACCCACCTGCCTGTACAGCATCCCCAGAAGCCCGCTCCAAGACCCGTCGTGCTGTGGGGAGCCCCATATGTGGTCTGACGGCTGCACCAGCTCGTAGCTATGGAGACAACTACGAGTTAATGGGTATTGTGTTCATGGGTTTCTATTATTCACTTGCTTCAAACGTCGAACGTGTGATTTTAAGAACCACCTTACGAACATCAATTGATGAATGCAATGACGTCTTCCAGTTGTCTTTCTGATCTGTTTTTCATTTAAATTCTATATTGAATTGCCATCAATATCGTTCTCATGTAGTGTTTACTCACCTAATTGTGTTGTGTTGTGTGTGTGTGTGTGTGTGTGTGTGTGTGTGTGTGTGTGTGTGTGTGTGTGTGTGTGTGTGTGTGTGTGTGTGTGTGTGTGTGTGTGTGTGTGTGTGTGTGTGTGTGTGTGTGTGCTTTCGTGTACATGTGTCTGTGAGATTATTAATGTAACTACCTACGAACAAGTAAATGTAGTTAGAGTCAGAGCTGTAGACACTCCTCATGTCCAGTCTTTCCGACAATCCTCGCCATATCGAGTTCTGATGAGCCATATACCATTCTCGTAGCAAGAGAGAGATTGTGCTTGTGTGCTTGTTTGAACGCATTAAGACTTTTTAATACATTTTTAAACGTTCAGAGATAATGTCAAAATATTTAATAAGAAAGATTATTTAAACTAAAAAATTTCCAAAATTTTCGACATCCCTTCGAAAAAAGTAAAATATTGTCATTAAATTACATTAATTTTCAAATGTAAATAAAAAGTATTTTGCAGAAGGGAGAATCTAGAGGACTTGAACCATGGACCCCAAGTCTGTGAGGCCGAAGCTCTATCGACTGGGCTATTGAAAAGTCTTAAATAAAGGAAAGTTTTCTTATGTTGTTGAAACATTTTATTATATTTATTTTGCTGAAACATTCCTGTATACACAATTTATAACATGGAAGAAAACATTATATTCTTTGACAATATTACCTAATTCGTTACTTACTGAAAGTTGATCTTGTCTGCCAAGATCTCAAGAAGGCTGGCCATGGGTCCTTCCAGTCTGATGGTCCCATTCTTCTGTTCAACGACTTTGGTCCAAGGAATCCACTGTCATAGAGGGGAGATAAAAATAGGCAGAGAAACAAATATGAACACAAACAATTGTGATCTTGGACCGATATGTAGAAGAAAAGAAAGTCAGACAAATTATAACAACAAATCAAAGGCATACACATACATGAATATTCAATTAATGGAGAATTTCTCATTCTGATTCACTACATAAAAAAATTCCTTTGTTCACAAAAGTTTTAAAAACTACTCTAACGATAAACACAATTCTAAATGTAGCATATATTACACAGCTGGCAATCTAATATAAAACACTAGAAGACTAAGCAGAAGAGGAGTTACAATAACGTGGCTGAAATGTGTTGAACACACACACACTCACTTTCTAGTGTGTGGTTTGGTCAACTAGAAGACTAGCATGTTCTTCACATGACATGGGAACAATGTTGCCCCAAATGCTCATCACCTTGATGCTGAGGGACGTATTGGACTCACCTAACACGTCAGAGCTCTGATGGCGACTTAATTTTATTTATGATTCTACTAAGTTGCAACATATTTCTCTTGGATAAATGTTCCTTCAATGAATAGAGCACTTTCCTATGATCCAAAATAAGCAAATATTTTAACTTATTTTAGCATCACGTTAGCATCCATTAAAATACAGTCGTAGCAATAATTAAAACATTTTGTAAATAAATTACTATTAACATATGATTGTATTCAATAAATGTGAACCATATCCACGCGACTACATATTACAACAAAAAATGTGCAGCTCCTGAAGAAACTAAAGTCTTCTGTCAAAAAAATCGTTAATAAGTTAGTCAGTTGAGCTATGTTGATTATTATACATGTAAATTAAACTAACTTTACATACTCAAAATGTTTCATAGTTTTAATAAGCTAGTCTAGATAAGTCGCATATGACATGTTGCGAAAGCGCTTGTGTTGCAATTTGTTGAAAATCTGTTGTATAATATCCTGACTATAGTTCTAACTGAGTATATTCGACTCTCAATTTACTTTTAATATACACATTTATGGTGCTCATTAGGCAGACGTTTGTCGCATAATACATTCAGGCCATCCATCAGTTGAAGTATCTCGCAAATGGAAGATTATTAACAGAAAATACAGTGAACTATATTTCGATTGCAATATCTTCACTTTATTGACTATACTATATAAAAATTTAATAGAGCAATGAAGACACAATAATGTACCTCCTCTACAGCCACTCTTAACAAAGGTTTGAACGACGTCATTGTTGAGGTAAGATTGATTCTTATCT